GCTTTCCTGGTTGCTGAGATGAAAGTGGGCGACAAAATGCACTCGCTTTCCGAACACACACACACACACACACACAGACAGACTCTCAACAATATGCGTTTTTGCTGTGTAGCGCTAGCGCTACACAGCAAAAACGCATAAAAAGTATCTGTAAAATTTACGAACGCAGTGCAAACCTTGACATCCTCAAGAATATCATTAACATTGAATTTTTCTTCAAAAATGTATGCATTATCCGCTCCGGACGCAAGTGCGGAAAGGGTAGCAAGGTATCCGCAGTATCCGCCCATTGTTTCCACGATGAATACACGCTTTTTGGTTCCAGTTGCCGATTGCTTGATTTTGTCGATCATTACACAGATCTCGTTCACTGCTGTGTCAGACCCTAGCGACAGAGAAGTGCCCGGCACATTGTTACTGATAGTGCAAGGAATTACACAAAGCGGAATACGAAGCGCTGGATATTTATCTCTGGCACGAGAGAGCAGTAAACAGGAGTGGTAGGCCTGAAATTACAACTCGTTTTCCAAAAAAACTGGTGGAAGTCTTGCAGAACTGTATTCATGCCACTGCTTTTCGACGGTTTTGAATCTCTCAGTGATCCAACCTCTTAAAGCATACTTGCTCTAGGTTAAAATCGTGCAAGCTTATGGAAACCATAAAGACCAAGCATATTCAGTGTAACGACAAACTGCATTGCTGGTGCACAGCACGCCGTGGTGAAAGATGAGGAATGTCCGAGAAAACACAGAAGGAATTATTAAATAGAGATTAAGTGAGAATGGCTCACCTCAAAACCGCCAACGATTAGCAAGCCGTGAATTTTGAATTTCTCTAGCGTTGCAGCAACCTGATCAATGATTTTTTCCGGCGTTACTTTCTGAGTGCCCAGAAAAGATCCACCGTGCATAACCCAGTTGTTCACATCGCCCCAGCTCATTTCCTGTCGAATTTCCCTCAGTTTATTATTGACAGAAGAATAAGCTTATAGTTTCAGTGCATTCAGCTTAACTCAATTTCAATACAAGGCCGAAGTTTACCTTGAGATCTCCCTTTGCGAGCCCTTCAAACGAATTCTTTACGCCATAAACCTTGCATCGATGATAAATGCCCATGCGAACATATGAGCGCACCACTGCATTCATTCCTGCAAAGTGCTTTTCATTATGCTAGCCTGCAGTGCACGCATCAAAAAAGGACGAAGACGTGAGCGAAATAAAAGACGAAATTTGGCTGGACTGGTATTATGTTTAGTTGCGGGGTACTTAAGTGTGTCAGACTAGATGGAAATTTGAGTGGCCTAATTTCGATTTTTGACACTTTTGCAGTAGGTATACCACAGAGCAGGTCTGTCGCTAATTATATAAGAGCAGAGGTGGAAGACTCCGAAATGCGCTTAGAACTATCGCTCGAACTGTTTCATCAGTTCTTTCAAAACGCTTGACCTCCAGCCGGCGCTCCAACATTTATCACGGCGACGTTATATGAGGGTGCGTTGGGAGAATCCTGCTGCTTCGGCTCCAGCTTCGTTAATAGACGATAAGTTTCTAGATTTCGCTGGAAGCTTCGACCGCGGAGTTTCACTGCTGTAGCCCAGTCATGCTGATCCATTGCATTTTTCACCTTCAAAGAAATGCACTATATGAAGATCTGCGATATATCGACTCTAAGACCTTAAAAATTCTACCACTCGAGGAGACTCTGACTGCACTTCTAATGATATAAATTACCGCTTGAGTTCGAAGGACGCATTGCATTAGTGGTACTCGAACAATAGTATTTCCATCGATGGATATAACGCAAGGTTCTGACTCTGGCGTCATTTCCATTAACGCAAGCACTGCTTCAGCGCCCATTCGACATCCCAGAAGACGATCAAAGGCAGACGGACTGCCACCTCGCTGCACGTGGCCCAGCACCGTCACTCGGGTATCGTAGTGCAATCGCTCCTTCACCACATCTCGCACCTGCAGTGAACGACAACATAACTTTAATTTTTTTTT